TCTCGGACCTCCCAAGAGCATCAGCCTCCAGTGGCTTCTTGGACCCCCGCGAGCGTCAGCCCAGATCGGGTTCTCTGACCTCCCACGACCTTCAGCCCCCAGCGGGTTCTCAGACCCCCTGCGACCGTCAGCCCCCAGCGGGTTCTCGGACCTCCCATGAGCGTCAGCCCCCAGCGGGTTCTCAGACCCCCCGCGAGCGTCAGCCCCCAGCGGGTTCTCGGACCTCCCGGGATCGTCAGCCCCCAGCGCGTTCTCGGACCTCCTGTGAGCATCAGCCCCCAGTGGGTTCCCAGACCTCCTGCGAACGGCAGCCTCCAGCAGGTTTTCGGACCCCCTCCCCCTGCGAGCGTCAGCCCCCAGCGGGTTTTCGGACCCCCCGCGAGCGTCAGCCCCCAGCGGGTTTTCGGACCCCCCGCGAGCGTCAGCCCCCAGCGGGTCCTCGGACCTCCTGTGAGCATCAGCCCCCAGTGGGTTCTCGGACCTCCTGCCAGCAGCAGCCTCCAGCAGGTTCTCAGACCCCCTCCCCCCGCGAGTGTCAGCCCCCAGCGGGTTCTCGGACCCCCCACGAGCGTCAGCCCCCAGCGGGTTCTTGGACCTCCCGTGACTTGGTCAGCCTCCAGCGGGTTCTCGGACCCCCTGCAACCCTCAGCCCCCAGGGGGCCCTCGGACCTCCCGTGACCCTCAGCCCCCAGCGGGTCCTCAGACCTCCCGCGACCCTCAGCCCCCAGGGGGCCCTCGGACCCCCCGCGACCGTCAGCCCTGAGCGGGCCCTCGGACCTCCCGCGACCCTCAGCCCCCAGGGGGCCCTCGGACCCCCCCGCGACCGTCAGCCCTGAGCGGGCTCTCGGACCTCCCAAGAGCATCAGCCTCCAGTGGCTTCTTGGACCCCCGCGAGCGTCAGCCCGGATCGGGTTTTCTGACCTCCCGCAACCCTCAGCCCCCAGCGGGTCCTCGGACCTCCCACGACCCTCAGCCCCCAGCAGGTCCTCGGACCTCCTGTGCAAAAGCAGAGGCAGCAGGTGCCTGCAGGACAAGCCCCAGTCACACAGCAGCCCATGGATCACCCGCCCAGGGCAGAACTCAGAGTTAGGTGCCATGAGGCTGCAGGGACATTGCAGGGCAGCGTGGAGATGGGGCCCTCAGGGCCCTGCCCAGCCTGGCATGCCGACCTTGGCGCCAGTGGACGCAGCGCGGGTGTCCTGGCATTTAGGAGAAGGTGCTCATGACATTATGGTAGAGGCAGGTTTCCAAAATGGGGTGGAAGAAGGGGCACCTACAGAAGAAAGTTGGACAGGAAAGAGCTTCAGTTTATGGGGAGACACTGTGAGGAGAAGGCCTGTGTTGTCTGGCCAAGGCATGTGCCCGTGTGGTCACTGTGGGGATCGGAGTGCAGTCCCCTCCGGCCTGGGCAGGAAGGGACTCAGGGGCTCCCAGCGCCAGGCTGTTTCTTGAGTGACCTCTGCCCGGCTCTCAGTGTGTCACTTTGTCTTCTGAAAGTACCTGTCACAAAGCGCTGGGCTGCCGCCAAGACCTCCCGTGATGTCTCCCTGGAAAGCAGTCGGCACTGGCCGAGGGCAGCGGGATGGGGCGGGGACGGGGAGGGTCCTGCTGCCTGCCCACTGAGGGGCTGCTGCCTGTGGGCAGCCTGCCCAGGCTTACCTCCCCGCGTGCTGCCTGCGCCCCTAGGTCTGCCCACCTGTCCCAGGCCAGATGCCCGGTGGCGGGGGCAGCAGCTGCGTTGAGCCTGGTGGCAGATGCACTGGTGTGGGGTGGGCAGCTGGGCAGGGGCCTGTGCTGGGCCAGGAGGCCTGGGGCATTCTCCGGGCTGGAAGGTGCAGCCTCCGGACGCGGGACCCACGGTTAGAGGCTGGCTGCCCCAGCCCAGCATGCAGGACCGAGGGCTTGTGTGTGGAGCCTTGCTGTTTTGAATAGGCCACCCGTTGTCCCACCCACATGTGACAAGCTCACAGGTGGCAGAGATAGGAGGGTGGTTCTTCTGCCCCAGGCCTCCTCTGTCCTGGGCTGCCCCGTGCCTGCAGGCCCACTGGAGCAGCTGGCTGGCTTTCTGGCCTCCACAAATACTCCACGGAACGGATGGACCCATCTGTTCAGCCAGGCTCTGGTCTCACGCTTCTGGGGATCTCGCGTCACCGTGGGCGTCGGGCACTGTGTGAACGATGTGAGTCTGTGTGTTTTACGATTATACATCTGTAGCCTGTAATTCCAGAAAGAATACTGGTGGGTGAGCTTTCCAGAATTCCAGCCGTGGAGTATTTCTTCCCGTGTCCAAGACAGTCCTGATTTGTGCTCATCTGAGGAGTGAAAAATAACAGCAGGACGGCTTGATTGCATGTTTATGACTGGGGTAGAGCCTCTTACAACTTTGAACAGATGTGTTCCCTATCCCGTGTGCACTTGCATCCGCTTCCTTTTGCTACTGATCTGCAGGAAAAGCTCGCGCACGCCCACACAGGTGAAGGGAGTTGGCTCTGGGTCTGGGATCCCAGTCGCAGCATTTCCCTGAAAATTGTCCCCTTTGCTGTGCAGAAGTCCCTGCACTTTGAGAGGGTCACACTCACTACCGGATTCTTTTTTTTTTTTAAGATTTTATTTATTTGCGAGAGAGACAATGAGAGACAGAGAGCATGAGAGGGAGGAGGGTCAGAGGGAGAAGCAGACTCCCTGCTGAGCAGGGAGCCCGATGGGGGACTCGATCCCGGGACTCCAGGATCATGACCTGAGCCGAAGGCAGTCGCTTAACCAACTGAGCCACCCAGGCGCCCCTGACTACCGGATTCTGAGTCTCCTTGACAAGCCTTCCTGCCCCAAGAGTGTTCTGTGAGCCTTTTGCTTTTCCCCACCGGCACTTTTGGGGGCTCCTCTCCGAGTTTGGGTTTCTGTCCTGGACGCCCCCCCATTCCCTCTTCCCCATGCACCATCTGCCTGCTTACCCTCACCACCTGCCACCTCCATGTGGGTCTGTCCTCTGCCAGTGCAGCCCCAGGCTGCTCTTGAGCTGAGCACATCGCAGTGGTTACAGGGGCTTGGGGCAGAGGCCAGCCTCGGTGTGGACACAGGCTGACCCCTTGTGAGGTGCGGACATAGGCCAGGCCTTGTGTGCTGTGCGGGCGCAGGCCGGGCCCCCGGTGCCCCTGGGGCAGCCTTGCTCTCGTTGGTCCTTCTGGACACAGGAATGTTTTGGCACCAGCCTGGAGCTTGGTTAATCTCGGAGAATCCGGTCTGGGGGACGTGCAGGTTGTAGGCTCCGGCTCTGCCGAAGCTTGGTGGCACGCTGTTCTGGGCACAGCTGTTGACATTCCTGTCTGGGGACAAGTCTCCACCGTATGAGCTGCCTTTGTGTGAGGAGAGTGGTTCTTCCAGCCTCCGGTGCGGGTCCTCGGGCCCCTGACTGCCCCTGGCCCAGCTCGGCAGCAGTCCTTGTGCTTGGGGCTGTCTGAGCTCCGGCATGAGCCTGAAAGCATACGATGCTGCCCGAGGTTGACCCCTGCCACTTCCCTGCGCCCTTGGGCATGAAGCCCGGGATGGGAATTGGGGGTGCAGGTCACTGCCTCCTCCCTCACCCGCTGCTTTCCAGCAGTGTCTTAGCTCCGAGCTCACAGGTACCTTCTCCCCAAAGGCCTTGCTGCCCACACGGGGCTTCTCTGTGCCTTGGGGACCTTGGGGGCTTCTCCCTCAGCCCGCACCCATGCTGGTCACAGGGCAGCAGCTAGCGCTTTTGGCTCGAAGTGCCCCCAAGCATGTGGTCTGCAGTGTCCGTAGGACTCAAGCTTGTAGGAATCCACCTCGGGTTCTGCTCACCAACACCCTTGTCTTCAGGGCCAGTTGCAGCCCTGCTTCCCTGCAGGTCTCTGCTCAACCCCGCAGAGCTCACTGGTGCCCTGCTGACTCAGAGCACTCCTGGGGAGTAGGGCCAAAGCCTGGGGTGGGTCTTCCCAGGGTGCACACTACATCCGAGTGGGAAGAGCGTGGGAGGCATTCGTTCTTTCCCCTCTGTGTCCATCATAGGCCTCAGGCCTGCCTTCGTGGCTTCACCCTCCACAGTGTGTGTGCAGAAATGCCTCTCTCCCACCTGCCTGCTGCTCCCCTCTGCACCCCAGGCCCAGCCCCAAAGGCAGGGGCTTCGAAAGCCAGGAGCCCAGGTTGTCTCCAGGGAGCCTGGCCTGCAGTGTTGTTGCTGGGGTCTGCTAGAGGGTGGGGTTCGAGGAAGCCCTGCCTGATTCTCTTCCCCGGTAGAAAGCTGCCGGGAGCCCACCCAGTGGCTACCATGCCCTTGAGGGGGCTTTTGAGGGGCAGCAGGAGGAGGGATGGGGCAAGGTGTGGGGATGCCTGGCACGCCTGGCTCCTCTGGGTTGGCTGGCTGGGATGGGGACGCTTGTTTCCTGTGATGCTTATGTGGGGGGACTCTAGCTGGGCACCTCTCCCTCCTGAGGGCTAAGGGTCTGGCCCAGGCTGGGCATGGGTGTGCCTGGAGCCCAGATGTGGCTTCACCCATATGGGGAAACAGAACTGTGGGTTGGAGCACAGAGCAGACAGGAGGTCAGATCAATCCGTCCCGGGATGGAGCACACGAAATGGCTTGGAGGAGCCTGAGAGCAGGGGACTGGCTCAGATGAGAGAGCTGGAGCCGCAGGAGAACCAGGAGCCGCCTGGGTTCCGCCAGGAGGTCCTCAGTGGCCCAGGAGTTCTGGGAGACCCCACTGGGACCTGCAGGGCAAGCCGAACAGGCTGCAGGAGAGCAAGGAGTGAGCCAGGACCCTCTCCAAGAGGCTTCAGGGTCCTGGTGAGGCTGGGCCATCCCAGCTGGTGTCGGCAGAGGGTGGGGGTCCTGCTGTGCTGTGTCGGATGTGGTCCCCTTGTGGCCTGGGATCCTGCAACCCTCCCTGCCCGTGGCGCACACCCTGTGCTGGGCTGTCCTCCCTGTGTGTGCCAGTCGTCGCTTGCCTCCGGGGCGGCCCTCACCCTGGCCTCTCTGTGCCCAGGCTGACGGGCAGCGAGCCCCTGACCATCCTCCCGCTAACCCTGGAGCCAGAGGCCGCCGCCCAGGCACACTACAAGGCCTGCGACCGGCTGAAGCTGGAGCGCAAGCAGAGACGCATGTGCCGCAGAGACCCAGGCGTGGCCGAGACGCTGGTGGAGGCGGTCAGCATGAGCGCGCTGGAGTGCCAGTACCAGTTCCGGTTCGAGCGCTGGAACTGCACTTTGGAGGGCCGTTACCGGGCCAGCCTACTCAAGCGAGGTGAGTGCGCGAGGGGAGCGAGCGGGCAGGACCTCCCTGCCGGCTCTGTGCCCCTGGCTGGGTCCCAGGGGACCTGCGGTGGGGTGGGGGCCTGCGGGGCTTGACTTTCCTCCTGCCCTGCTCCCTCGTGGCTCCTTCTCCACTTGATGCGCCCTAACCCATCCCTCCCTCCTCCTGACTCCAACCACCTGCAGCTCGGTCCTCCTCATGCCCGGCCCCCCCTGTCTAGCTCCTCCATCCTGCTCCACCCCGCTACATCCACCGGCCTGCCCCGTCTCCTGCCCCGCCCCTCCCTCCTGACCCCGCCCCTGCCCCGCCCCTCCCCCTGTAGCCTCCTCCTGCCTGCCCCGCCCCTTCCTTCTGGCCTGCCCCTAGCCTACCCTGCCCTCTTCCCACCCCGCCTCCCGCTAAGCCCCTCCTCGGGGAACAGTTGCTGGCCGCACGAGGCGCATTTGCGCAGCTTTGGCAGCTTTGACGCGGCCGAGGCCGCTCTGATGGCTCTTGCCACGTGGTGGTGACCGAGGCCCAGCGGCTGGGCAAGAGGGGCAGAGGTCCAGCTGGTGCCCTGAGGAGGGAGCCTTCTTTCTCATGTCTCCCTAGGACTCTGATCTGAGCTTCTCAACAGCCTCGTTTAAAAACTGGGGACCTGAGGCCTGGGGCAGGGCAGGGTGGGGTTCGCCAAGGCCCCGCAGCCAGTCTGGTGGGTGGGAGACCCAGAAGGACGAAGTCGCTGATCCCTGAGCAGAGCCTTGAGTTCTCTCTACCCCGCCACATCCTGTGCCTGGGGCACATAGGAGCGCCTCCTCCCTGCGGGAGCGCGGGGCAGCCCAGGCAGGGATGCCCACCCCCGCAAGGGGAACACCAGCAAGGATCCTTTCCGTGGACCCTTCCTTGCGCTCAGGATTCAGCACTCCAGCTGGACTGCTGTGGCAGTCGCTCCCTGGCCCTAAGGTCCCTGTGTCCCCCCGCCCCCAGGCTTCAAGGAGACCGCCTTCCTCTATGCCATCTCCTCAGCCGGCCTGACGCACGCGCTGGCCAAGGCGTGCAGCGCGGGCCGCATGGAGCGCTGCACGTGCGACGAGGCCCCCGACCTGGAGAACCGCGAGGCCTGGCAGTGGGGTGGCTGCGGGGACAACCTCAAGTACAGCAGCAAGTTCGTCAAGGAGTTCCTGGGCCGGCGGTCGAGCAAAGATCTGCGAGCCCGCGTGGACTTCCACAACAACCTCGTGGGTGTGAAGGCAAGCGGGGCGGGGCGCGGAGGGGTGTCAGTGGGGGCGGCGCGCGGGGCTGCGGCTTCGGGGCTCTGCTCCGGCCGCGCGGTACCAGCCAGGGCCTCGAGTCGTCCTGCCTGGCGGGCTCCTTGTCCTACAGGGATGACTAGGTGCCACCATGGTCTTTCGTGGGTTGGGGGGTTGGGGGTGTAAGCTTTTTGGCTGGGCCCTTCTGGGGGCTGCTGGCTGCAGGCGGGCTGGGTCTGGGGGTGCCTGGCTCCTGGCCATCCTCCACCCTCCCTGCAGCCCCTCAGCTCTAGGGCCCACACCAACGGAGGAGGCACCTCCTCACTGTGGCCAAAACAGACAGCCCAGATCACCAAACATCCCCTGAGGCTCTGCCTGGCCGTGGGATGGCCAGGGGGCTCTGCGTGCTCACCAGGCAGCCCCTGGGATGTGGAGCCCCAGCCTGGGAGGGGGTGAGGTAATTAGAGCCAGCCCTGCTCTGAGCCCCTCTTTATTGAGAAACCAGAGTTCTGAGTCCTGCACTTATTAAAGAATCAATTTTCCCCTTTTCTTCAGAGCCCTTGTCCCTCCTTCTGCCCTCCGGGGAGGGGCGGGAGCAGATTAAATCCCCAAGGCGAGGCTACTTCTTTTCTTTCGAGTTCTCCCCTTTGTAAGCTATTAATGAAAAGTCAGAATATGGAAAGGGCTCCATTAGCTCTGCGGGGCCTGGGTAAGCAGCGCTTTAATTAAATTTGTCCGGGTTTCTCAGCAGAGTGTCATTAAATGTGACTCTTCTATTGCTTGACCAGAGGGCAGCTACATTTCCTAATCCCCCTCAAGCCAGCCGGCCCTCCCTTGGGGCAGCGTGGGAGCTCAGGCCTGTCTGGGGATGGGGCCCACTGGGGAGGGCCTCCCCTCTCTGCTGCCACGGACCCCAGTGTGGGTGGTCAGGCAGGAGGCCCTTCGGGGCAGCCATGTATGTGTAGGTGGGGGTGCCGCCCCCCCCACCCGGGGGCCGATATGGAGGATCCAGTGACCATTCCGCCAGGTGGGCAAGCTAACTCATTTGTCCTCACTTCTCCAGGAAGCAGGCTGCTGAGACCAGACTGGGAGGTCCTGGTGGGGTGTTGACAGCAGGGCGACAGGGGTGGCGTGCCCAGCCCCTGCAGAGGGCAGCCCCGGACGTGGGGAGGGACTGTCTCCACAGGAGGCCTCCAGTCTGGAGGCCACAGTACTGGATGTAGGACTTCTGTCCTGGGCCACCTGTGGCTTGGAGGAGAGAGGGACAGGCGCATGAGCTGGGAAGCCTGGGTGATGGGCAGTGGGGAAGCCCCTAGGCTGGGCTTGGGTCTGGGGGAGCTGTGGGGTCCGGTCATCTGTAGGGGCTGTTCCCGGCTTCGCAGCGTGGCCCTCATGCGCGGCTGCCCTCCCCCCCACCAGGTAATCAAGGCCGGGGTGGAGACCACGTGCAAGTGCCACGGTGTGTCGGGCTCCTGCACGGTGCGGACATGCTGGCGACAGCTGGCGCCCTTCCATGAGGTGGGCAAACGCCTGAAACACAAGTACGAGACGGCCCTCAAGGTGGGCAGCACCACCAACGAGGCCACCGGTGAGGCCGGTGCCATCTCCCCGCCTCGGGGCCGGGCGGCTGGGCCGGGCGGCAGCGACCCACTGCCCCGCACGCCGGATCTCGTGCACCTGGATGACTCGCCCAGCTTCTGCCTGGCCAGCCGCTTCTCCCCGGGCACCGCCGGCCGCAGGTGCCACCGGGAGAAGAACTGCGAGAGCATCTGCTGTGGGCGTGGCCACAACACGCAGAGTCGGGTGGTGACGCGGCCCTGCCAGTGCCAGGTTCGCTGGTGCTGCTACGTGGAGTGCAGGCAGTGCACACAGCGCGAGGAGGTCTACACCTGCAAGGGCTGAGCTGCCCGGCCCCGCCCCCTGCTGCGGGGGCGAGGCGGTGCGTGCAGCGCGGGGGGGTCTACACCTGCCGGGGCTGAGCCCCCGGCCCCGCCCCCTGCTGCGGGGGCGAGGCGGTGCGTGCAGCGCGAGGGGTCCGCCCCCTGCTGCGGGGGCGAGGCGGTGCGCGCCTCGCGAGGGGTCTACACCTGCAGGGGCTGAGGCTCCGGGCTGCGGCCCCCCGCACACTTGGCACGTGGCGGCGGGAGCCCGGAGACTGGCCGGCCTGGCTGTCTCTGCCCCTTCGTCCCCCCTTGCAAAGACCCAGAGGCGGGAGGTGGCCCTGGTCTGGCCCCTGCGTCCCCTCTGCCCGCCCCCACCCCCATGACCTGAGAGCGTTGTACGATGCTTTCCAAGCTCTGTCCGTCCCTAAGAGGCCAGTTCCTGCAGAGCAGCGCCCCTCCCTGCTCTGGGCTCCCGCCGAGAAGCAGAAGGTTCACCTTTGTGACCCCACAGGGCCCCTGTGCGGCCGCCTGTGGGCTGTCCTGCTCCAGCACCGGCTTAGAGAGTCAAACCACTAGGAGAGGGACAGCCCGGCCGCCCGGGTGTGCGGGTTACTGCCGTCCCCTCTGACAAGGAGCACTTCTCTCGGGAGTGATAGCGGTGACTTTTAAGTTATTTTTATTTAACTAATATATAATTATTATTTGTCCGTCCCTGCCCTGTCTCGGGCTGTGGCTCCCCTACTCTGGGTGGAGCCCGGTCTGGAAGGCCCCTGTCCTCCCTCCCCTCCACGTCCCCTCCACGTCCCCTCCTAACCTCTGCCTGATCTGCTTTGTCGTTTGAAACCACTGAATCAAGAGGGACGTTGCTGTTGTTGTGTCTAAAGTAGAAAGCAGGTTGTGTCTGGCCACTGCCCTCAGGGCTTCTGGAAGCCCGGTCCCTGTAGCCCAGGCCAGGTGCCCCCGGTGAGACTGTCCTGGGAGGCGGGTGGACCGCACTCCAGGCCCGTCTGTGTAGGTTTGGAGACCACGGTCGCCAAGGGTGGCCTGCCCTCCCCCCGGGCGTTGGTATGGCGGAGGGGCAAGGCCAGCCCCTTGGAGGGGTCCTTTCACATAGCTTGCTTTGTGTTACTGTGGGAGGAGGCAGAGCTGAGGACGGAGGTGGACGGTGAGAATCTGGGGCTAGGGTTTGGCAACCGTAGGCTGTTCCCCTTGGCCATGCTGTTGTCTTTGCAGGGAAAAAAAAACCGGATGGGCTACACTGACCTGGTTTGGTTTGAGTGTGTGTGTATGCGTGTGTATATGTGCGTGAGCGCACACGTGCATGTGTGCAGGAATGCACCTGCGTGTGTGTGTGCATGCGTGTGAGCACGTGTGCATGAGTGTGCCTGTGAGTACATGGGTGCATGTGCTGTGTGCTGTATGCACGTGTGTGTTTGTGTGTGCGAACGTGTGCATGTGTGTGTATATGCGTGAGCGCACACGTGCATGTGTGCAGGAATGCACCTGCGTGTGTGTACATGCGTGTGAGCATGTGTGTGCATGAGTGTGCCTGTGAGTACATGGGTGCATGTGCTGCGTGCTGTATGCACGTGTGTGAGTGTGTGTGCGCGAACGTGTGCATGCGTGTGTCTATATGCGTGAGCGCACACATGCATGTGTGCAGGAATGCACCTGCGTTTGTGTGCATGCGTGTGAGCACGTGTGTGCATGAGTGTGCCTGTGAGTACATGGGTGCATGTGCTGCGTGCTGTATGCACGTGTGTGTGTGTGCGCGAACGTGTGCATGCGTGCGTATATGTGCGTGAGCACACACGTGCATGTGTGCAGGAATGCACCTGCGTGTGTGTGCATGCGTGTGAGCACGTGTGTGCATGAGTGTGCCTGTGAGTACATGGGTGCATGTGCTGCGTGCTGTATGCACGTGTGTGAGTGTGTTTGTGTGTGCGAACGTGTGCATGTGTGGCGCATGCGTGTGTGTGGTGCGCATGCATGCCTGTGGGTGAGCAGGTGTCCCCGTGTGTCTGTGGGGTGTGCGCCGATTCGCGCTGTCCTGGCATGGCCAGTGGTCAGCTGGGGCATGGCCTCCACCCAGGGCCCTTCCTCCGCACGAGGCTGTCCTTGCCATGTTGGTGTGAGCAGCAGCCTTGGCTTCTAGGTCCTCCGGCCCGGGGCCTGTCCGGCTCGGCTGTGGCTGTGCTCTGGTGGGGCACAGGCGCTGGGTGGCAGTGCAGACACGGGAACTACTGAGTGAGGGGGTTCCTTGGGGTCCCGCGGGCTCCAGGAACCCTGGGGACTGTGTTTTTAGAAGAAAACCTATTTATGTCGATGTGGGTCTCTTTGTCCCTCTGTTACAGTGTAAATAGGACAGTCTACTCTGTGGTTCCAAGAACATCCCCGAGAATACTTAGTACTGACAGGGTGGGGGCGGGGCCAGAGCTGCTGGGGAGCTGCCACACCCCAGGACAAGACTGTAGCTCAGTCACTACTGGGTCTGCAAAGGCAGCCCGTCGGAGGAAGGGTCTTGTAATCAGATACCACATTTAGCTCTGTGTCATAAATATAAAGGAAAGTATTTTCTGAAACAAGGCAGACTGAAAACGTCTGCTGGCTGGCTTGTTTATATATAAGTATATATCAGAATATCTTGCTAAGCAAAGAAGCAACTCCTCCTGACAGAGCCTCTCTTCTAGGCTGCTTCTCTTCCGTGCGGGGGAGAGCCTCTAGAAGAAACTGTGTTCTGTGGCAGGGCACAGAGCCCCCGGGGTCAGCCTTTCTGGGAAGGGGAGCCGGCCACAGGGAGGAGCCGCGCTGAGGGCCAGGCAGGTCCCGGCCACCTGCTCCCCACCAGCCACACAGACGTGGACTCCTGGCCTGGTTCGGCCAGGTCCGGGCGGGGCGGGAGGAGAGGGGCATTCACACACGAGAACTCGTGTCTCTGTGCGGAGTCTCGTGCGAGCCTATCAATTTCTCTACCTCATCTGTATAGCGAGTAGGTGTGTACTCGAGTGACTTGGAGAATGTATTTATTTAACGGCTTTGTGTAACAGAACAGAAACAAAATGGACACTAAATAAATGTATTTTAAATTATAGCCCCTTCTGAGTCTGCTGCCTTCCGAGGGGTTCTGGATGGCCTGAGGGAGGAGGACCTGATGGGGGAGGAGGGCCTGGGGGGGAGGAGGGCCTGAGGGGGGGAGGAGGGCCTGGGGGGGGAGGAGGGCCTGAGGGAGGAGGATCTGAGGGGGGAGGAGGGTCTGAGGGAGAAGGGCCAGAGAAAGGGGTGTGAGGGAGGAGGGAGGGCCTGAGGGAGGAGGATCTGAGGGGGGAGGAGGGCCTGAGGGAGGAGGGCCTGATGGGGGAGGAGGGCCTGAGGGAGGAGGAGGGTCTGAGGGAGGAGGACCTGAGGGGGGAGGAGGGCTTGAGGGAGGAGGGCCTGAGGGGGGAGGAGGGCCTGAGGGGGGGAGGGTCGGGGGGGAGGAGGGCCTGAGGGGGGAGGAGTGCGTGAGGGAGGAGGACCTGAGGGGGGAGGAGTGTGTGAGGGAGGAGGGCATGGGGAGGAAGGCCTGGGGGGGAGGATCTGAGGGAGGAGGATCTGAGGGGGGAGCAGGGCATGGGAGGAGGATCTGAGGGGGGAGGAGGGCATAGGGAGGAGTACCTGAGGGGGGATGAAGGCATGGGGGGAGGATCTGAGGGGCGAGGAGGACCTGGGGGGAGGATCTGAGGGGGTAGGAGGACATGGGGAGGAGGATGTGAGGGGGGAGGAGGACCTGGGGGGAGGATCTGAGGTGGGAGGAGGGCATGGGGAAGAGGATCTGAGGGGGGGAGGACCTGGGGGGAGGATCTGAGGGGGGGAGGAGGACATGGGGGGAGGATCTGAGGGGGGAGGAGGGCATGGGGAGGAGGATCTGAGGGGGGAGGAGGGCATGGGGAGGAGGATCTGGGGGGGAGGAGGACCTGGGGGGAGGATCTGAGTGGGGAGGAGGGCATGGGGGGGAGGATCTGAGGGGGGAGGAGGATGGAGGATCTGAGGGGGGAGGAGGGCATGGGGAGGAGGATCTGAGTGGGGAGGAGGACCTGGGGGGAGGATCTGAGTGGGGAGGAGGGCATGGGGGGAGGATCTGAGGGGGGAGGAGGGCATGGGTGGGAGGATCTGAGGGGAGGAGGGCATGGGGAGGAGGATCTGGGGGGGAGGAGGACCTGGGGGGGAGGATCTGAGTGGGGAGGAGGGCATGGGGGAGGATCTGAGGGGGGAGGGCCTGAGTGGGGAGGAGGTATGGGCTTTAGGAGCAGGCAGTCCCATGCAGGCCAAGCACCACCCAGCCCGCTGCAGAGGTGGGAGAGTGCTGTCTCCCTGTTCACACATGGGGAGGCTGCAGTTCTGCTGTGCAGAGGCCCCTGTCAGAGGTCCCATGGATCCCCTAACAGGCCGACTAGTGGCGCTGGGTCCCTTCGTGCCCTGCTCCTTCCAGCTCAGCCTCTGATCCCAGCACACCCTGCAGGCTCTCTTGTCTGCAGGCGGGCCAGGCAAGGCCCCGCCCACGTCTCCCTGGAGCCCCTGTGTTATGTCCAGGGCACAAGGCCACAAGTGAGGGCTTCCAGCAACGGGAATTCCTCTCCCACATCTGGAGGCCTGAAGATGAAGCTGTGGGCTGGGCCTCACTCTGTCCAGAGGCTCCAGGGAAGGGTCCTTCCTGCCTCTCCCCGTTGCTGGAGCCCCAGGCTGTCCTGGGCTCATGGGCACTCCACCCCACCTCTCCTGTCCCTTCCTGGACACCTGTCACGGGAGGTAGGACCCAGCAGAGTATCCAGTATGCTTTCGTCTTGGCATCATTAATCACGTCTGCAAAGACCCCATTTCCAAATAAGGTTACATCCTGGGGGTAAGGTGGGTGTGAACTTGGTGGGTGGTGGGGGGGAACACAAGCAGGACAAAGGCCAGGCCCTGGTGGGGGAAGGAGCGTGCTCTCTACCAGGGTGGGGCTGGGATGGGCTGGACCCAGCATACCTCCTTCTCTTTGTGGTCCATGTCCTTTTTGAGGAGAACCCTTGGGCTGCTGGGGGACAGGCCTGTCTCTCCATGCACTGGGCCCCTGCCTCAGTCACCCTCTCCCTGTCCTGTGGGGAGGTGACCCCAGCGCTCCCTCTCTTGCTCCGAGTCTGGTTCTTCCTGCCTTATCCCAGCGCTGGGTCTCTGACATGGCCATCTGTTTGGCCGCCTGCTGAGTCTGGGGACATCTGGTATAACGTGCCCTCCCTCCAAGTTGGACCGCAGCACCCGGCCCCTCTGCTGGCCTCTGTCTTCCTTTGAGCTCACCTTGTGTGACCCCCACAGCTGTGACCTGTCTTGCTGGACCCCGTGGCCCCTTTCCTGGAAGATTGCTTCCTTGCCACCTTGGTTTTCATCGGTGCCCCAGAGCCCCAGGGACAGGGGTTGCTGCCTGAGGAACGTGGGATGATCTGCGCAATCCTGGTGCTCAGGCAGAAGGGTCATGGTGCCTCCCCTCTGGCCCCATGGACACCCCCAGTAAGAAGAGGCAAGGGGCACCGGCTGGTGTCAGACCTTCCGCCAGGCTGCAGGCGAGGCCCCTCAGCTGGGCACTGGGCTCTGCAGGTGAGCTATGGGGACGACAGCGCAGTGGAGGGGATCTGGGGCATCCCATAAGCTCGCGGGCCCCCAGGGACAGCACATTGGGGAAACCAAGGCCTCCTCCCCAAGCTCTGATGCGGACACTGAGGTGCAGGCAGGGGCTCCGGCCTCTGCGTCTGGGCGGGAGGGGACTGCAAGTGGCCCGGGCCAGGGAGCAGGATGCCTGAAGGGGCCATTCTTCCCGTATTCGAAACCTCGCTGGTGCAGGCTGCAGGCGGGTGGGGTGGAGGCTTCGGAGAGAAGAAGGGGCTCCAGGGGCAAGCTAGGCTGGACAGGCCACTGTGCAAGCCTCCGGCCACCGCTGACCCCCAGGCCAGGAGCCCTCTCTGGTCACCTCGGTCTCCTGTCTACCCTGGGCTCCGGGTACAGTGGCTATGTGCTAGGACATCTGGCTAGTCTCGCATACGCCTGTGTGTGTGCGTGTGTTCGCGCTGTGAGGGTGCTTGCTGGGCTCTCGCTCACCTGCCTTGCTCAGTGACTGGTGACTGTGCTCTCCCCCAGCCCCTCTCTGGCCTCCTCCGGCTGACAAGCTCCTACTGGTCCAGCCCAGAGCCTGAGGTAGAAGGCCTGGCCAGTCTGACCACATCAGCTGGGTGGGCAGAGATACCGCAGAGGCTGCAAGGTGCTTCCTGCCCGCCTGGGGCAGCAAGGAGGCCCAGGAAGTTCCAGAGGACTGGCAGGGCCACCTGGGGTGAGGAGGGCCAGAGCCACTGGGCTCCAGGCTCGGGCTGGGAGGCTGCTCAAAGCCACTCCCTGCCTGCTGGCCTTCAGTGGTGCTGTTCACAGGTGCGGAGGCAGCTCAGGACACACAGGTGGCCCTGGGGGGCTGGGGTGGGAGGCAGGAGATGGCTGGGGGATTAGGTAAGAAGGCCCAGTTAGGTAATGTCTCAGACGGGAAAAGTATTCAGCTGGATCCCACCTGCTTTCCAGGCTGACTTCAGAGACTGAGGAGGAGGTGGAGAAGGGGGAGGAGGGGGAGGAGGGAGAAAGTGAAGAAGGGGGGAAGAGGAAGAGGAGGAGGGAGGGGAAGGAAGGGGAGAGGGAGGAGGGAGAAGCGGAGGAGGAAGAGGAGAGGAGGGGAGAGTAGAAAAGGAGGCTAGCGCCTGGACAGGCCACAGCAGGGCCCCAGGTCACCTCGCTGTGGGACCAGGGGCGGGGGTGCCCTGGGACCTTTGGGACCATGGGAAGGAAGGCTAGGTGGGACCTAGCCAGGCTGCACGAAGCAGGTGCTCCAGGAGCAGCCTCTGAGAGATCGAAGAAGGAGGCCAGCCAGGAGGGCCCCAAGCATGCAGGTACTGAACCCTTAGAGGCTGTGAGCAGGTTGGGGTCACTCTGGCCCCATCCCAGCGGGCACATGGCCCCATTATGGACCCAGTTCTGGGGGGGTCTCTGTCGGTGGCCTGAGCCAACCCCACCCCTCCTGAGATGGCCTCCATGGGAAGGATGGACAGCGTGGTAGGCTGGCCTGCCGATACCTGGACCTGCCTCCTGCATCGGCTGGCCCCATCCCCTTCCTCTCAGGGCCTCCCCCTGTGATGCACCCCCCACACCAGGCTGGTTGCTGTGCTCCCTCTGGAAACAGCCGTGCCCTCCGAGCCCTTCTCATTCACTGCCCAGAATTTCTCTCCTGGGATGGGACCCTCTCGGCCCACTGACCCCCAGGCCGGAGAGACACTGGGCAGAGTGGGATGGGGCTCTGTGCTTGGGGGCCCCTGCTGCCTGAGCTCCTAGGCTGAGGGAGACCTCAGTCTGGGAACAAGTGTTCTGGTTCTGCATGGTCTTGCCTCTGCCTGGGACCTGGGCCTCAGTTTCCCTGTGCATACCTTGGATGTGGGACGAATGGTAATGGTTGCGTCCTGATAGCCTGGGATTCTGCACTGGGCTGGGCCCCCGGGGCCACATGTGGGGTGGAGCTGGGGGCTCAGGGGCACCTTCCTGTCCTATATCAGCATTGCCCCTTGGACTGAGTGGAGGAGGGGTCTAGCAGGTTGCCACAGAAACAAGACCAAACAAATAGTGCCCCCCCACAAGCCTACAGGGCCCCTGTGGCAATGACCTCATCTGCCCACCAACCCTGTGCTGTGGGGGGTCCTGGGCTGACAGGGGAGCTGCAACATCCCTTGTTTGTGTTGGGCCCTTGTCCATGGAAACGCGGCTGGAGCTGGGGGGAGGGGGAGGGCAGAGCCCAGAGGCTCCTGCTGTGGTTGTTAGCTGGGCAGGGAGAGAGAGGGAGGAGGAGGGGGAGAGAGGAGGAGGGGGAGGGCAGAGGGAGGGAGGGGGAGGGGGGAGAAGGAGAGGAGAGGGGGAGGGGAAGAGAGAGAGGAGGGGAGGGGGAGGGCAGAGGAGGGAGGTGGAGAGGGGAGGAGGAGGGGAAGGAGGGGAGGAGGGGGAGGAGGAGGGCAGGGAGGGAGGTGGAGAAGGGAGGAGGGGAGA